GCTCACAGGATAGTTCATATCAGCCACCATGATGCTGAATTGAAACAATCAATTTGCGACGACAGATTTCTAAATAGTCCTAGTGTTAGTACCGTGGACCCTCGGTGAAATTAAAAAAAAAGCATATTAACGAGCAAATAAACCACAACTTGATTGTACATTTCGCTTACCAAAGCCACATCTCTTACTTCGTTCGTTATGAATGGGCTATTTTTCAAGTTAATCCTTTAATCAACGAAAATTGCCGCTAGGAAAACTTTGTTGGTCATAACCATCCGACACCTCTTCTCCATGTTCGATAAGAGTGTAGTAGCTAGGTCGCTTTCCATCGTTTCCAAAACAAAACAACACTTTCCCCACATCAAGAACACGAGTTGGTCTTCCAGTTGAGTTTGTTATTTCGATGTCGCATTGAAACGTCGCTTAGCGACGTCTCATTGCGAAAAGCGCATGAGCTTCGGCTCACGCGACGTCGCATGATACTCGTTCTCATGAAACGCATACATCCGGAAATGTGCTGTGCTTACAAAACAGTGCGACACACAGGCATTATGAGAATGTGAGATGCGACAAAACTGAAGAGAGAGAAACAGAGTGCTACAAATCTCTTGCGCATGAGACTGCTATGACTATGAGACTATTCGTATTGCGTCTCGCATACGGTAGCGCGCGCACTGGAAGCCTGGTTTTGACCAGATTCCGGGTTTATACGGGAGAGTGCGTCTGCGTTTGCATTTAGTAGGCCCTTTTTGTATTTAATTTCGAATTCAAGCTCCTCAAGGGCAAGTTTCCAATGAAGAAGCCTTCTATTCAAATCGTTCTTCTGTCGAAACCACACTAAAGGTTTGTGGTCAGTTCGAATTTCAAAGACAGTGCCATATATGTATGGTAAATATGAAGTGTTTTTTGGCCCATACAATTGCAAGAAGTTCCTTTTCGGTTGCCGAGTAATTGCATTCTGCTTCGTTCAAGGTTCTAGATGCATATGCAATAGGGTGTTCTTTGCCATCTTCAAATTTTTGGGACAAAACAGCTCCCAGAGCGAAATCGCTGGCATCTGTTTCTAGAATGAATTTCTTATTGAAATCTGGGTACTTTAATATAGGATCAGATGTCAATAAGTGTTTGCAATCGTTAAAACAATCTATAAATTCTGGAGTGTGAACGATTTTTGCATCTTTCTTCAAGCATTTCGTTAAAGGTTTCGTCAGCTTTGCAAAATCGCGGATGAATTTTCTATAATAGCCCAGCAACCCAAGGAATCCTTTAATATGAGTTGCTGTTTTAGAAGGGGCCAATTTAGAATTTTGGCTTTATTCCGTTTTGTGTAACAATGTGCCCTAAAAATTCATATTGTTTCTGTAAAAATTCGCACTTGTCAAATTGCACTTTAAGATTAGCTTGAATCAGTCTTTGGAGAACTTTATTCAAGTTATCCAAGTGTTGCTGCAAAGAGTTGCCGAAAATAATAATGTCGTCTAGGTAGACTAGGCAACATTTTCCAATTAAATCACCTAGAATGTGATTCATTACGCGCTGGAATGTCGCAGGCGCGTTTTTTAATCCGAAGGGCATACGGATAAACTCAAAATGCCCTTCGTCGGTGCTGAAAGCGGTTTTAGGCCTATCCTTGGGGTGCACCTCGATTTGGTGGAACCCGGATTTTAAGTCTAATGTAGTAAAATAAGTACTACGACCAAGCCTATCGAGAATTTCCTCAACAAGGGGGATGGGAAATTTATCATCCACCGTTTTCTCGTTTAGCTTGCGATAGTCAATGACAACACGCCATTTTTTCTTACCGCTTGCATCGAGCTTTTTCGGGACAATCCAAATTGGAGAGGTCCACGGGGAGATTGAATTTTGAATAATACCGTCTGCTAGCATTTCACTGATCTGTTTTTCAACTTCAGCTTTATGCACGTGAGGGTATCTGTAGGTCTTAGTGTGGACTGGAATGTCGTCCACGGTTTTGATGCGATGTTGGATTGCAGTAGTGCAAGATAATTTATCGGATACCTTGTGAATGATTTGAATGTTCTTGGAAAGGATTTTTAATAGTGCGGATTTTTCTTCGAAATTAAGATGTTGGAGTCTGAGAAGTTTTTCTAGTTCGGGAAGGGACATAGTAGATGTTTGATTAACTGGTCTACAATTCATGGTATTTATTTCAACGTTGCTATCTACTTGTAAGGTAACTGCTGGTTTTGTCCATTTAAAGGTAACCGTGTCGCCAAAATTTCTCGCAAAAACCTTAACGAATCCATTGTCAGCATGGTAAAGTCCTGAATGAATTACTGCATTATTAATTTTTATGTCTTTTGGAAGGAAAACATCACCATTTTTCTGTGAGACAGGTAATTTAATTTTAGTTACTGTGTTTACATTCAGAGTAATGTTGGAAGGTCCTAATTTCCGAATTTCCATTTTGACGGTTTCTTTTGGTAAAATAATTTTAGCGTTGTTAACATCGATTATTGCTTCTAATTCAGATAGTGTCTCGTATCCAAGTATTCCGTCAAAAAATGTGTGAAATTTGAATAAGTAGAATGGGACTTTTTGCAAATTAAATAACGTTGTAATAAATTTTTGATTAGATTGATGTTTTCCAGCCTGATTTACAATGTTTATGGGTTTACATTTAATTCTTGAGGATATTGGTACTAAATTTGGTGAGATAAAGTTTTTGTTCGACCCACTGTCGATTAAAATTTTGGCTTCCCTACCATTTTTCAATTGCATTCGGATGAATGGGAGGCCGTTTATAGCATTCATTTCGATGGTTTGTTGTGAATATCTATTTGAAAATTTGTCTCGTACTCAGATTCAGAGTCCGAATTTTCCTGCTCTTGATTTTCTAGATTTTCTTCTACGGGTTCTGAGTCGTGATTAAACAGTTTTCCTTGCCTTGACCTTAGAGATGGGTCAACGTCCATGGGGGTTATTTTGGATCGGTCTGACTTTTGTTGTGGATTGCCAAACGGTTTATTTTGCCTGAAATTGTGATTTTTATTTGTATATTGGGGGTGTGTTGAATTCGGCAATTGGTTTGTCTGTTTCTTAGTTTGTTCAGCGCACTGAAAACGGCAGAGGAAGGCGTACGCTGCTTCCAAGTTTTCTGGTTGTGCAGTTTGTGCATAGCCAAAATAAGGTTTATGTAAGCCATTAATAAATGCAGCTAAACATTCCTGTTCTATGAACTCGTTTATTGCATCCCATTTGGTTCTGTAAATTTCGTTTTCCTTAGCCAAGGATTTTATATTTACCATGATTTCTTTTGATTTTCGATAGTAATTATGAAGAGAATCTGTCATCTTCATATTCCATATTTGAGTTTGGTAGGTGGCGATAGTATTTCTGTCGCCGAAGCTACCAAGCAGTATTGATGCTGCTTCTTCAAATGTTTGAGGGTTGCCATTTGAGCATAATGTGTCTCTGGCATCGCCTTCAACTTTATTTATGATGCATTGTTCATACATCGAAAGTGTTTCTGCTGGAACACGATTTCTAAACATTTCGAGGGTTCGCCTTACGGTCTGGACCCATGCCGAAGCTTGTTTTTTCTTGCCGTCAAAGCTGGGCAATGATTTGATCGGATCTGGGATCCGAAAAATGTCAGATGCTTGTTGTGGAGCATTCTGTTGCATGTTTTGATTTGCACGCAAATTATTGTTTTCTACTTGCAGAGCATTTAGCCTCTGTTCCATGCTAAGCATGTTGTTGTACACTGTTTGAAGGTCAATCACTTGATTTTCCAGGGGATTCATTTTTGCAATAAATTTCCGTGCTTTCACTTTTGGCAACGGATTAATTTTGCTCATGAAAGGGGTAAATTAAATAAAATTACTTACGGTTCGCACTCTCAAAGGTTTGAAAACCACCAGCACAGCTTCTTGGAACGGGCGGCACAAGTCACCTACGGGTTGAGGGATGGCGTAAGACTGCTCTAACCACGGATCGGGTTTTTACATTCACTAGTTTTCCTGTCCCGCACTAGCCAATATCACGTCACTTTGGCTTACTAACCGGCACGTCCGCTGTCGTTAGTCCGACACTAATTTTCGATTTTTCTCCGGTTCACGAATTCACCACGGGTCGGGCATTCACTGCACTAGAGTCTATCAAAACTAGCCAATTTCACTGCACTGTAGAGTGCTCCGAACGACTGCGCCACTTATGTATGATTTGTCATCAAAATCTTTTTTAAAAAGGTTTCACTATGTCCTAAAGGACAGATTTATTCACTTTTTCTGTGCATCAAATGTTTCATCACTTTTTCAATCTAACAAAACACACTTAGAAATAATTAATTTTACACGTGAAGGAATCTATGTTTGACATAAAGGATCAGACGTAATCAAATATGTCATGTAAAATTAAGTGCTCCGAGACTGAATTGTTCGTTACTCGTCGAAAAGTACGTTTGATTGAATTGAATTGCGCGTCTGTTATGACTCAATTTTATGTCAAAACTGACGCTCGCATATGTCAGTCCCAGAGCACCTAAATTTACATTATTTTTTCTAAGTGTGAAGATTTCATCACTTTTTCATTCTAGCAAAAAGGTTTCACTCATTGTACAAACATACTAACGTTGTCTCACTATGTCTTGCCACTGGCTCTAACTAAACTCAACTTACTACTCCTAATTGAATAATATTTCCTTCAACCTGTCGATGGCTTGCGATCTGCTGCGTCAGGACTCCAAGTCCATCCAGGTTGTCACCGTCAGCGATGTTCCGTCCGGCGTGTGTCGTGTTGAGTCAGGAGAACTGCATCCGTTCTGCTGTTGCTCAACGAGTGTCGGGTTGCAGCTGGTTGTCGTTGGAATTCGGTAGATAATGCTGGGGTTGCATCTATGCCATGATCGGTTGATCATAGGTAGAGCATGCGTGTGTACATAACCCAATATCGAGAAAAATGAACGAAAAGTTCACTAAACATCTCAACGTAGTCTCCGTCAACCAACTAATTTTTTACTATGTTATCTTTCATTCCAGGCACAATCAAGCGGTGTCCCATCAGCAGCAGCTGCTACTGCTCCTGCCTTCGCTCCGACAGGCCGACTACATTATTCGCAAGTTCTGGACAAATGTGCACATAGAAGGCAACGTTACCATGAACAAATTGTTCGTAGAAATGCTGGAATCGGTGTCGAGATAAACCCGTCCCGTGTGAGTTCCTACGCAAAGAGGGGGGAGGAAAACAAAACCCGGTGATCTCTACCATCACACATACATATAGACAAACACACATGCAAACATCCTCACCCAAGGAAACACCACACCACGAACAACTAGAAATACTCTCACGTTCTCTAAACGCCCCAGTGATTTTCCTTTTGCGATTGAGAAGTGCCCTCTTCTTGCGCGAATCCATATGGCGTGCAGGGGTGTAGTTTGGAGCAATTAGAGTTTTACTGTTAAGGTCGTTATGTTTTTTTTTATCATGCATTAGAACTGTAAGAGACACTAGAATAGGCACCTCGATCAATTGTGAATCATGAGTTTTTTTTTCTAAATTGTATTTTAATTTGAACGTTTTCAATGTCTTACTGAGTAAATGAAATAGTCGTTTTTAAAAGTTTGAATCTCTCAAGCGTTTCTTTTAACTTGCGACGATTTTGCTACGGGCTGCCGTTGACGTTTTATGGATTACCTTTGTCAGAAGTTCCAATGTGGTTACCTTTTCTTATTTTAGTTGTTGTTCGTTGTACATACGTAGTGAATGATGCGTGGAACCATTCGATACTTGGCTTGTCATAGATGTAATCATACTTTTAATAGTGCCGCATATTTGGATTGATACGTTAATGTTTTATCTTTTTTCTGTACCGCAAAAATCAAACTGAGTTAATCATGAAACTCCATCAAGCGTTGTAGAAGGAAAATCAAAATGTCTCTCTGGCATGAGCTGAAAACACCTAAAAGATAGCATTATCGATAAATAATCCAAATTGCTAGAGTTTTCTGGGGCCATATTGACGCAAAGGTACGGACAAAGGATTAACGACGATTGATTACAGCAGTGATTCAAAACATGACGTCATGTCAGTAGGCCCATATATGATAAATAGAAAATGCAGAAAAAATCATCAGGGACTTTTAAACATGGTTAGCGTACACTTTTAGATTTTATTCATCAAAATTGATTGGTATAAATATCAATTAATTCTGCCGATTTAGCAACCTCCATCAGAATACACTTGCGTTAATTTCATTTCGACATGTAAATGCATGAACAACAATGAGTCAATATATGAAACGAACCATGAGTTTTGTTCACAATTGCTGTACGTTTTAAAATACTTAAACATAGAAGAGACTAAAACTGCAATATCGTAAAAAATGTGACTTGTCGCTTTAATATACCTAGTAGGAATCTCTAGGATTTAAACAAATATAAAAAAAAAATCAAAAGTTCTAAGATTTTTCGTTTCAATAAAACAACAAGCCTAAAACATGTCTGTGTCCTAAAGTGAAATAGTCTCACCAATCTGCAAATAACAACTGCATAGTAGTGGTGACAGCACACTACTATTTACAAATGCCCCTTGAGCGGTAAACAGTACAACTTTTATGAATTAAGGATGTATATTCTACAACAAATTTTTTTTCTGTTTCGAAGTTTAATTACAGAGTACGAAAAGAATATAAACGACGGGAAAACATTTCAATGAAAAAAAAAACTTCTATGGATTCATTGCTGATTTACCCATAACCTTACACAGTTAATAATTACGGTCTGTAAGTAGTCGACACGAACGTTGTGTATTTATTAGAATTTAGATGACATGAAACTGATAACAAATGAAGAAGAAAAAAATACGACGAAGAAAGGAGAAAATATAAGAAAAAGAGAACAGACTAATGTAACTATAAAGAACCATTATAATAACTTCGATACAACATAGAGCAGTTAGATAAGGACGGGCGGAGGTATACCGGAGGTGGATGAAAGTGCTGTCCCGTCTGCAGGAACGACGAAGTAGAGCATGACGATATGGGAAGGGATATTAAAACTGCAAATCAAAATCACACAAAAAAAACACACATGAGAATATAAAAAGATGAATTCAACTGCAATAAATAACGTAGTGAGAAAGAGGAACGGTTGAGATTTTGTCAATATCACATCCTTGACTGAGAGTTATCAGTCGAAGGGAGCAAGAGTGACATGGGTCAAAGAGCAGAGCACTACCGCAAACCTCGGAAATGGAACGAATTTCGGAAAGACGATCTACAGAGCTACAATAGCAGGTTTATTAAAAAAAAATCCATCTGTCAAATTTAAGTGAATATTCACCAAATGGAACACAGCCTTAGTGACGCAACAATTCAAACCGTGCTTCCCTTCTCGATAGCGGCATACAAATAAACGTCCTGACGCCCCATAAAGTGGATAGATCACCTTTTCGTGGTACGTTACGGGATATACGATCTACCACCGATTCCTAGTCCTGAAAACTTCAACCTAGGGGAACAGGATTTTTCAGTAATCCAAGGAACACATCTTAGTCCTTGTTACTTTTTATACCTTGTTGATAGTGACAAGACTGGGCTATGTACACCGAGAATGATCTTGAAACAAGGAAAAACTAGTTAGTTAGTCAACATCTATGTGATTCCTAATTTCTATTTGTTGTTCCTTAGTTCCCTGACACACCGCAGAGAATACTAGCGGTCGAGAAACCGGTCACCTGCTTTACTTCGACCGTCAAGCACCGCCCGTTGCCAACATAAAGCACGCGGGGTGGAGAGTTCATCGCATCGATGCTTTTCAACATAGTATTCATCGCAACGCTACACCTCTGGGGTCATAGAGTGTTCCGTTAATCCAGGTGATGTACAGATTATAAGACAATAAACCTAAGACTACAAATCAAGAAGACTGGCAACTGTTCTCTTCTCCCATAAAAATGTCAAACGTCACGGATAACAGCGCTTCGGCCAATCAAAGGTGGAACTTTGTAGCACAAGTGTTAGTGAGACTGCTCATAAACAGTGACTATGTGTGTGACCTAATGTCACCGAAACGAATAATCATAACAGTTCTCGTTATTGTTTTTGTTTTGCTCTACAAAATTTCACGGTAATTTGTATCCTGATCCTAGCAAGCCGGGGGTTTTCCAACTTCAAACCGAAAAACTTTTCATGGTGGATCAAGTAGAGGATTGAAACTCGGATCGATACCTAGTGAAAGTAACTGTTACTTGTGAGCGAGGAATCGAAATATTGTTTATTTTACCTGTTGGAAGCAATCAATTATAAGGAATTGGCAGCTTCCACCACCATTCGAGGATTATAAAAGAAGAAAGATCCGGTACCTACATCACGATCCAACGGAAGGCGTAGCAGGATCTGATGTTGGAGAAAATGAAAATGAAAGGTTTGAGGAAACTCTGCAGGTAAATTATCAAAATTCCAAATCCAATCGACTACCTATTAGTGCAGGAGTTGCTCAGGGTAGCATTCTTGGGCCTATATTGTATAACATTTTCACTTCGGACCTCCCTGATTTGCCTCAGGGTTGCCACAAATCTTTGTTCGCTGACGACACAGGCATTTCCGCTAAAGGAAAAAGTCTTCGTGTTATTTGCAGCAGACTGCAGAAAAGTTTAGATACTTTCTCTTCTTATTTAAAAAAAAAATGGAATATTTCTCCCAACGCTTCCAAAACTCAACTTATAATATTTCCACATACATAAGCCTAGAGCTTCTTTTTTGAAACCTAGTAGAAGTCACATAGTCACTATGAACGGAGTTACAATTTCCTGGTCAAACCAAGTCAAATATCTTGGATTAGTACTTGACCAAAAATTAACTTTTAAAGATCACAAGCCAAATGTAACAAATATATAAAATGTTTGTATCCTCTTATAAACAGGAAATCCAAACTTTGCCTGACGAATAAACTTCTAATATTTAAACAAGTTTTTAGACCGGCCATGCTTTACGCTGTGTCAATATGGTCTTGTTGTTGCACTACCAGGAAAAAATCACTTCAAAGGATTCGGAACAAAGTTCTGAAGATGATTTTGAAGTTGCCTCCCTGGTTCAGTACTACTGAGGTACATAGAATTTCGAATGTTTAATAATTTCAGGCAAAAATCGATTAATTCTCTTTATACTTAGATAAGATTTAGTTTTAGTTTTTAGTTTTAAGATATAAATTGTTATACTGACATGCAGGTTTAAAAAACCTGTTTAAAATACTGAATTGCCAAGACAGGAACAATGTAAAAATACTTAGATATATATCATAACAATTAAGGCTGGTAAGTTACTGTAGTAACTGGTGCACCTAGGTTAAAATGAAATGTAATTTATTTTGAATTTGAAACAAATAAAGAGTTAAAAAAAAGGTTTGAGGACTACAATCCCAAACGGTACGTATTGATAAAGAATATATTTCCATTTTAGATGTTATCAGAACATGAAACCACCGGATAGTGATCCACTGTATGCTTTAACAATTCTTGGAATCGACCGACCCCTTCCACAGAATGATAACAACAGAGTCGGATTGGCCAGTGACATTCAAATGGTCAGCGAGTACTGTGCCAAGTTGCCAAGCGTCACAACTTAATCGTAGTTCCCATGATGGTCCCGCTCGTTGATCATCTTTCGTCAACGGAGTATCCACTGGACCCGTTCCAGTGTTCTCAATATCGAAAAAATCTTTCACCGTCTCGTGGAGCTTTTCGTCACAGATGCATTCTCCAACGCGGAAGCTGTACGATTCACGATTGCTGCTTCCTCGAGAACCATAGACGGACCAGCCTAGCCTAGTTTTAGCAGCCACCGGCGCAGATTCATCACCTTCTCTTATCTTCAGCGGGAGTTCCAGATGCCGATGAGGATCTTGGGTTTGGCATTCTGATAGCTGCTTACTAGGATGCCCTTCAGGTGCGGGTACACTTTCACCGCTTCTTTGGCCTGGAAATTTTGGACGGGAAGACTGAGATTGTTGACGGTCCTCGCGTTCACCAACTTGTGGCGTTTGCTCTGCCCAATTCCAGCGATCTCGATAGTGGCCCGTAGAGATTTTTTCTCCAATCGCGAAGTATCGTCAGTCCACCGGAGACATAGAGGATAAGACATCCCCTTCACGTCCAGTGCAGTAGCCAGGTCGTGTTCCACTAGTGTCAGGTCAGAACCCTCATCGAGGAAGGCGAAAGTTTCGATGGACCCATTACTACCGTGGAGTATCACGGGAATGATACGAAAGAGTTTCGATGACATTGCCTGATGGTGGGTATGGTTATCGGCTACCTGAACTCTCGGCATCGGTGTCGACGACTTTGGTGGTCCTCTTTGGGAGTGGAGGAGAGGATGGTGGCGAAACTGGCAGCCATAAATGTCGCAAATGTTTCGTCCTCGACACGCACAACGCCCATGGTTAAACAGGCAGTTCTGGCACAGCAGCAGCGCGCGAACTCTTCTCCAGCGATCGTCGACGTCCAGTTTCTTGAAGACTTCACAATCGCGCACTCGATGACCACTTTTGTTGCAGTTCAGGTAGCCGAATTGTTTGGATGATTCCCTCGGATCGCTCGATGAAACTCCGGAACTCCCAGTGCTTTCCACTGCATGGGCGTTCACAAACGCTTTGCTCTTCGGACGGTCGCGAGCACTGCTCCTTTTACCTTCTGGCTCAAACGATACCACACTTTTCGCGTCCTGTACCACTGATGCCATATAGTCACCGAAGGTTTTTAGATCGACGTGATGAAATCCCGGCTTGTATCCCGCCCACATCATTCGTTGGTCCGCGGGAAGTTTCGCGACGAGTTTTTGCAGAAGAGACGGATTCGATAGGTGAACGCGTTCATTCACCACTTCAATGTGGTCGCATAAGGCCTGCCGAAGTCGATGAGCCCTTCCAACCGGTCGGACTTTGAACCTGGGATTTCCCGCACCTTTCTCAGCAGAGAATTTATCAGCAACTCTGGTTGTCCAGACCGCATACGAAGAGTCTGGATCACCTGGGGTACCGCTGCTTGCAACACCAACCGAACCGTTTCCAGAGCCGGTCCAGTCAAACATCGTTGTAGGCGAAGCATATTCTCTCCATCCGAAAAACCGCAAGCTTCAGCCATGTAGCGATAATTCTAAATGAAGATCGGCCAGTCTGCGGGGTCACCGGAGAATCGAGGAAGTTCCTTAGCCAGGGACTGCCTTGCTGCTAGCTTCTGTTCAGTGGGAGCACCGTGTTGCACTGGGGGAGGAATCGCTTGGTATCTTTGTACACTTTCTTACTGACGAGGGGACTGAGACGACTCAACCGTACGCGGGGAAGGTTCACACGTTTGCTCTCCGATTGAGTGTTGTCGAGTCAAGGTTTTCGAGGCGTTCGGGCGTGCGAGGGATTCTCGCAGCTGCTCGTGAAAATTTGAGGGGCGCATATTAAATTCTCCCGGGCGCGCGTCAATTCGCAGCTGCTCACGGGTTGTTTCGTAATCATCGTCGTGGGGCAATGGTAGGAAGGGCCTACATTCGTATGATTCAAAGCTTGACGCTTACCTGGTCGACAGGTAGCGATTGGTCTACTTACCGAAGGCAAACTGGGTTGGTTTACCCGATCTCTCCATTGCCATAGAGGGTTTTGCAGACTAGTGCTAGTGACTAGTTTGCTTCCGGTACCGATTCTAAAGTCTGACGCGCCTTGGGAATTGCACCGGTCTGCTTCTCCATTCGCGGCTCGTTTGTTGTCGTCGCTTGCTTTGGTAGTTGTCGTCGCTTGCTTTGGTAGTTGTCGTCCTACCAGAAAGCTTGCAGGCGATGTCATCCCTCTGCTGGGTAGTGCAGTTGCCACATACCCACACCCGGTTCACGACACTATTATTTTCTCCGGCGCACGTTTAATGGTGCCACCTGTCGCATTTTTTTTCCTCTGTTTGGGACCAAACACTACTGCGACCAGTAAATTGATCTATTGTAGTATATCCCGTGTCCTTAGTTTAGTGCATGTCGTATTACTCCATCACTATTGAGAAAAGATGAAGTATTCGATTTTTTTACAGTTGCCACTCTTGCATTTATCGCAAGGATCCGACTCTAATTGAAAGGTCCCGCTATTTATACCCTTCGGAGTGTTGAAAC